ATCCTCGTTCTCTGTAATCTCTACACAGAGACGTAATCTTTCGGTTTTCCTTAGGCTTAAAAATATTTGCAATTGACGAGTATTGGAGATGTAAACTGGTGGCGTGTCGTGAGCCATTGTTTTCAAAGCTTTATTCGAGAACTGGTAGCTTAGCTGAATCTGATGGCTCGACTCATTCAATCCGTAATCATCGAGTACTCACTTTGCCAGTTCGTCGTGTGTTGTTTTCTCATCTGCATGCAGAACAATACATCCTCTACTGTCGGGTGTGAATACATATCTGTTTTTCTTAATCCAGTTACCTGAAACAATGATTACTGGATCCATAAGAAATTAGAGAAAGAGAAGAAGGTGAAGAACAGATAGCGGCGTCTGTAACATAAACCCGAATTTCGTTGTTGTAGTTAGTAATGACATGGAAAATAAAAGCTGACATGGATGATGACATGGAAAATCAGTTATTCAGCCACCAAACGAACATTTAAGTCAGCCACAATAAGTCAGCCAATTAATACACCGTAAGTCAGTCAAAACGTGAATACTATTTTAGTAATTAACTTTTTGTTAACAATCAGCCATAACAGAGATGAAACGCAAGAAGTCAGCTGTATCGTTAAATAAACCAGCCGGCAAATGAATGCTATTCTAGTAATTAATCTTTCGCAAAAAAGTCAGCCGTAAATCAGCTGAGTTTACTGTTACTCACTTTATGACGGCTGATTGAATATAACTCAGCTGTAAAAACATCTCATAACTCGGCCAGTCGACGATCAATTAACCAGCCGCGATAGTTAACTCAGCCTTCTGGTAACTAGAACTCAGTCGGATTTTCCAGGAACCAGACTAAGGATGTATAAGTCAGTCGTAATATCTGACCGTAACTCAGCCGTTATCAAATAAACCAGCCAGATTTTTATAAGTCAGCCGTAACGATCGACTGAGTTATGTTCATAACTCAGCTTATTTCTCATAAGTCAGCTAGGTTAGTTAAGTCAGCCGAAACGCACCTATATCTCGGCCGTAACGAAGTTCATATCGTATT